AGATTTATCTACGAAAATAAAAAGTGCATTAGGTTTAATTGTACCAGGATTTATWAGAACTAAAATAAAAGAAAATTTACTTAGACTACGGTAAGTTAATAAATTATAAAAATATAAATGATCTTAATTTTTTTTTATACTTTTTTTTTTTATTATACTTTCAATTTAATTTTAAATTATTTATTTATTTTTGATTTTTAAGTTTTGCCGTTTCGAAAGCTATTACATTTAGAAAAAACATGGWCTTGCCTCAGAATGAAAAAGTGAAGTTGTTAAAAATTGATATTTTAAATGGGCCATTTCATGATAAATGCGATAGGTATAAGAAAAATATATTTGAAAAATATTATTACTTACTACAACATTTTTTATTTATTTAAAAATAAATATAGTTTTATCTTTTCATGACACTTATTCCTCTTTTAGTTACTTTTGTTCAAAAAACAAAGAAAATGAAGTTAATTTAGTTCCGGAATTGCAAAAATATGGTGTGTGGAATGATTTAATTGCAGCAGTCAATTTAGTGGCTTATCATTCCAACAGCCTAATCTACCATGTAAATAATAACAGTGTTGAAACTTATAATAGTGTAGTCGCAAAGTATGTAGGAGGGAAACGGGTGAATTTCTCATTGAGAGGTAACTTTTTCTACGTTATTTTTATTTTTTAAATCTGTTATTCATGATGACAAAATTAAAAATTAAATTAGGATTAATTATCATTTATTGGAATATTTAATATTAAATTTTTAGGATCTTACAACGCACGGTGTAATACTGCTGTCTCTGCTTATAATTATGGACCAAATTATTTACGGCAATTTTATAAGAAATCAACAAATTTTAGCCCGGGAATGTATACAAAAAAATTTATTGCCAAAGAAAACAAAGGTAGATATACTGAAAAAACAAATTGTAAAATTAGTTCTATGTAATTTATAATATTATACTATAAATTATAATATTTAAACAATGATGGGCTTGTTAAAAATATCTACTTATTAGATTCTGAACGGAGTGATGAATGTATTGATTTTACAATGATGTGTGTTTTTTATTATTATTTTTTTTTTGTGTCTGTCAGCAAGGTTTTGGATAGTAATAGTGCTTCGATTTTTAGACTCAGCCCCGTTTCTGATAGGAAAGTGAATGCCATTGGTGCATTATAGAGATCAAAAGTAAGAAATGTCCAATACTTTTCAAGAGCGTCAGGAAAAACCCTAAAAAAGTTGGATGACCAAAAAAACTTGAAAATTTAATACAAGGTTCCTTATGAGTTGTCCTTATTGTAGCTAAAAAAAATTAAAAATTGTTAGTCACTATTTTTTTTTATACGCGTTTATAGTTCAAATTTTTACGAAATCTGTCGAAAATGCGAAAATTTGCAAGTAATTTTGAAGTTGAAAAATCATAAAAATGTTTGTGTTTATAATTAAGGATTAAAAATACAACACTAAGTTTTCAATAAATTTTCTTTCAAGTAGCTATAATGATAACTCAAATCATCATCATAGATCATAGGAAAAATTTTAAGTGCGTTTGAATTTTAAATTTTTACGAAATCAGGTATATGTATATCTATTATAGGTAAGGTATTATAAATTATGATAACTACATGAATTGTTTTTGGAAAAATTGATTAACCATACCTTATTCAAAATGCGTCCTAATTGAAAAATAATATATTTGTTTCAAAATAGAATATATGACAATATTTAAATATAATATATCCTAGACTGACAAATCATCTCCGTTCAGAATCTAATATACCCTAGTCAGAGGTCCACCCCACCACCTAATTTACAGCAGAGCGACATCCACTTACCCGTTTTTTTTTCAAGACCGAAAATAAAAATAAAAAAAATTTATGGTCCGGATTCCGACTATGGTGCTGTAAAGGAAGAAATCGGTTGTCAACCGTTGTCAATGACAAAAGAAAACTTTGAAGACAAAAAAATTGAATTTTTAGACAAATTAAAATTAAACAAGACTGATATTTTGAAATTAGAACGTCGAACGATTGATCAATCAAATAATGAAGAATGGAAAAAAGAAAGATTGTCCAGATTAACGGCATCCAATTTTGGTAAAATTTGCAAGATGCGTAAAACTACCATTAGAAAAAACACTGTAATTTCTCCTGTAACAAGTAACATGTTTTATTTTGTATAATAATGTAATCAAATACACGTCAATAACTAAACTATTTTATCAGTCTATATTTTTTTTTGATAATATATTGATATTTATAGATATTTTTTTTATTAGTATTCTTATTCTAATGCTTATACCGGTCCATTTAGGATTACTGCCATTTCCATCATGTTCTTCCAACTCGCAGGTTTACACGATGCATAATACTCKTGCGAAGACAGTCAGTCAGTCTATTATTACAATATCTTACTAAATGTATTTTATGATATTATATTATGGATAAAGTAATTCGTTTTTCCCAAAAAAATACATTTGMAAATGTAACTAAGTGTATATAAAATATAACAATATACTCTAAAAGTTTCATGTATCAACTAATAATATTTTTAAACTACAACAAAATAACTAAAATCAATATTCTTGGTTTTAATATGTAATTYTATCCAAATTTGAATTCAAAATGTCTGTAAAAAATAACTGTGTTTATATATTTTTATATTTTTTGGTTACAGTACGAAATATTTATGAGAATCATTGTTTT